AAAAGTTTATAACTTTTCTTAGCAGCAGAGTAACTGCCACAGTCATTTGTGTTTCCTACTGTCTGCTGCTAAGCGTCACTCTGAAGCTCCAACAGGAACGAACCATTTAACGCAGACGGGGGTTCAGGGCAAATATGGATGTGAGTTTTTTGGTCTGGGAGTGGGAACATTACATTTTTACTGCTAAAGACAATCTTTGAAAATTCAATATGATTAATTTTGTTATTGATAGGGACCTGTGTTTTTTTTATTTCTATGAACCAAAAATAAATAATTAAATTGTGGAGGGACCCCTGCTGGTCAGGGCCCCTAGAATTGTCATCGTTTTCCCCCCTATACCGCGCCCCTGGATGGGGATAAAGAGAACAGCTCGTGAAGCACAGAGTGACACCCCAACTCCTGACCTGAGGTGAGGAGGAGAGTTTGGATCCATCAGGTGAAAGGGAGAAACCATCAGTTTTAGATGATACAGATTTGGTTCCTACATGGAGGATTCCAGTTTTGTTGCTGTTCAGTTTAAGGAAGAGGTGAAACAAGAATGCTTCAGATGAGCATGAGTTAGAGAAAAGAAAGCAGGAAAGAGCAGGGCGTCATCTGCATAGCAGGGAAAAAGAAGGTTAAGTTCCTGGAAAATATGGTAGAAAGAAAAAAGGTAAATGAGAAAATGTAAGGATCCCAGGACAGAACCCTGAGGAACAGCAGGGGGCAGCAGAGGAAGGATGGGAACAGAAGGACTTTAGTTGGATGAAGAGATTGCAGCAGAGAGGAAGAAATGAAACCTGTAGAGGAGAGTGTGAGCAATGCCATATGAAGATGATCTGTTTAGAAGGACACAGTGTCAAAGGTCACACTGAGATCAGAGGGCAGAAAGTAGACCAGAGGCGGCCGCCATCGAATGATCACTGGAAACCAGACTGGAAATGTTCATAGAGGTCATTGAGTTACATTTTAAGTTGAGAGACAACTGTCTTTGATTAGTTTGGAGATAAAAGGTAAATTAGAGATGGCATTAAGAGTATTTAAATTGTTGGGATCTTTAGTTTCTTCAGTATTTTTCAGTAATAGTAGCATTTTGAAAAGATCAGCAGCAGTTCCAGTGGTAAATAAGGAGTGAATGATGACAGTAATGAACGGAAGAAGAGCCTGAAGGTTGGAACCAGGGATGTTGGGATTGGATCAAGTATGCCAGTGGAAGATTTACACTTATGGATGATGTCAGTCAGTTTGGAGATCTCACACTACAATCAGTGATTCATCCATTCATGGACACCCTGATGGTGATGAGCTATTGGATAGTAGCCACAGCTGCTCTGGGCAGTCTGTCAGAGGCCATGCCCAAGAGAGCAGGGACTCAAACCAGCAACCCAATGATTACTAGATGAACTCGCTCCACCGTTGAAACCATGGAGGTGAGAAAGGGAGGCGACTGTTACAGAAAGTACAAGAGAAGAAAGTGATGTTCTCACTCTTGGTAACATGGTCCGCCTGTAAGAAGGAGGTCATCAGCTGCTTTCTGCAGAGCTGGCACGGTTATTGGTTTCTCTTATTGTCCAAATCAATAACTAATAATTGACTTTTCTAATTTTAACTTTGAGGAGCAAATGTATGAGCAGATGTTTGTCTCTGTGATGGTTCGCCTCCCATTTATGATCAAACAGAAAATACAAACACACATCGTCCCCATTTGCAACAGAAATCGCCTCACTGACTGAACCTCACCTTCAGCAACAACCAGTAAAATGTTTCTCTCTGGCTCCTCCCACCACTGCTGAGCTCAGCCAATGAGAAGGCTCGTCTCTGCACAGCTCAAAGCAGCTTGATGATGATGTTAGTTTTCCTTCTGCTGCAGTGGATCATCTCTGTTCAGCTGCTGTCTGACCTGAACTCCTGGAACATGTTGCTTTCCCTCCTGCTCTTCTCTCTCTACATAGGTGAGTATCAGAAGAGAGAAGCTCTGATTTTCTCTCTCTGAATTTCACTGCGACCACATGTGGAGGGAAGAGCCTCTGAGTCTCCTGATGCCTGAATCTGCTGCAGACTGACTGACATGAACCATCATTTTACAGCCATGGGCTCCATGAACACCGTCACACAGGAGCAGAGGGAACACGTCGCTTCAGAGGGAAGCCACACCGGTTTGAGCTGCGGATATGATGGTTCTATCTATAATGTCCAGTGGTACCGACAGCAGCAGGGATCCAGACCAGAGTTCCTGCTCTACATCACAGAGACGGGATCGATCCATCCAACTCGCTCCGATTTCTCAGCTGACATCGATAAAACTCAGAAACGAGGAAATCTGCTGATCTCCTCTGCTGCAGTGACAGACTCTGCTGTGTACTACTGCGCTGTGCAGCCCACAGTGACAGGAAACACCAGAACCCTGTACAAAAACCTGCAGTACTCCACAGCGGCCACTAGAGGGCCTC